TCTGTGCAATGAGCGAAGTCTAATTTACACAAATAAAAAAAAAAAAAAAAAAAAAAAAAAAAAAAAAAAAACAGAATAGAAGACGAAACGACCAAGAGAACACACAGATGAACGCACAGGATCGAACGGGTACTCGATGCATGGACTGACTGACTGGCTGGTTGTGAACGGGGACGGAGGGAGGATACAGCATCCCCACGCTCTCTACCTCTCGGTTCTGTGCCTCGGGAATCTGCATCTTTGGGGCAAGATGATACCCGTTTTCCCTTTCCGCCCCGTTTCCTGCATTGTAGTGGTGGTATCATACATATGAGATAATGTACCTACTGTACCATTCGCATGAGATAATCACCTTCGCTACAGACCCTACCAAACTGCGAACCAAACCCATTCCAGATGGTAGGGGCATGTGGGATCTGAAGGGTGGCAGAAGCGAATGTTTTTACCCAGGAGGGTATTGACTCTCAGGCACACACCTACTATATACATCTGCACGCGAAGGTGCGATTCAGTCTTCTGTGCACAGTACTTCTTCAGTGCTGGCTGTACAATCAAGAGTGAAATGATATAGTATGATTTTCTCTAAAATCGTTTCAACTCGTACGCACACTCGCCTCCGCAATCAGTGAATACTAACGCCTAGGCCTGCGTAAAAGTACAGTATGTCCTGACAAGCAGGGGTTGGTTCTATTTTGGTTCTCATTCAATTTACGTCCACGTTCAGCTTCCCCGAATTCTTTTTTTTCTGGATCCCCCGATGCAGTCTAATCAGAGGATATTTTTTTACCATATCAAATCCAATCGAAGCCAGGCCCAGAGATTCCGAATGTTCGACAGACAGTTCAATCGAGTAATTTGGGTTGGGCTTGTTTGATTTTGAGTGAAATCGTGCACTGCACAGTTGGGGTTCCCTGTACGATGAATTTCCACTCATGATTGAAAAGACCATCATCAATCAATCAATTGAACCAATCCGCCCCGCGTTCAAATACAGGTTCGAGGACCCCGATTGAACCTGGCTAATCCTAATTTCTTTTGGTGCTGATCTAATTCCACGGCACATCCCTCTTGTCCAAGTTCTTCTTGGCCTGCTCGATCTGACCCATGAGTTCTCTGTACGCGTCCTCGGTGTCGTTGAATCGCAAGACACCCAGCCCCAATCGGCCCAATAGATACGCGCCCAGCGAGATGATGGCCCAGAAGGGCAGGACGGGGATGATTTCCACTTGGATCTTGGTCGGGAGAATCGATGGGATTGGCGAGTCTTCGGTCAATAGGGGGAGAGCGAGGAGGAGGTAAGCCTGTGTGAGAAGAGAAACATGGTTAGATTAGAGTACATGACTAAGTCGGGTTTGATGTGGAATCGCGGTTCATGAAGGTAAGATCCTGAGAGACCCAGCTTGCTTGCTTGCCTCATTGAGGACTGCGCAGCTGGCTTGCTTGCTGGTTGGCTCGCACCGCTCAAGAACTCGGGTCACAGGTGCTAGGAGGAGAGAGGTGCGAGCCCGTGCTTCCACGGTTGCGACCTATGTTAGGAAGAAGGGAGCGTCCTTACCGATGTAACTAGCAGGGCAAGTGATATGGTTTGCGCTGCGCGACCCATGGTTGCGGTTGTCAATGGAATGAGAGGAGGGTCTATTATGGTGTGCCGGGAACTATGAAAGTGTCCGTAGTAGCTGTCAGGTTCCTGTTGTGTAGCTCTATTGTCGTTTTGGTTTCTCTGCTAAATAGAGCAGGGACCGGTGTCTTCGTTGTGGAGTTGAGTTTCAAGATCAGTGTCTGTATAGACGTGTTCACATCCAAACTGGAGCGGCACATGAATTGTCCGCCAATAATCATGAATTGGAGGAAAAGGGGTGCACGTCCCGGCGCGTCTGTGTCCTCCGCCGGACTCAGCTGCATCTCAGCCTTGTCGCTGACTAAACGAACAAAGGGGAAGTATTGAGGCCTCAAGTGCAGCTCTCATTATGAATCTCGTCGCTTCTGATACTGGTACTATTCACTCTAGGAATCAAGCATAACCTGTTTCTAATATTGGTGTTCCAGGACTTAACACGCCCCTACTGATACCCCAGTGCCCTGCTTGTCCTGACTATCAACGGCTTACTTGTCTTCATGAACTAGGTACTACTGGTATAAACAGGTCACTGTGACCGCGCCCGCTCTTACTACAGCATGTACCCAGGCGTTGGATGAAATCCTCCTATTTCTTTATGTCCTTCAGTCGATTGTCGCGCACGTTTTATCAAGGACATATACACGGTACTCACTCTGTTTGATTGTGGCGCCTGCCACTGAAGCAATCCACACATGGAGTCCACATCGACATCAAGTCAGGCAGAAGCCTGCCTAAAACTCAGCAATGAACTCGCCGAGCATCCTCCGTCGGGCCCAGAGTTCAACACTCAGCATGAGAAGGCCATCTCGAGCCTAAAGAAGGCAGCAGAGGATTTGAGTGACTCAAAAGCAGAAGTCAAGCAGGCAATGAGGGTCTTGACTGAGTATTTCCACGCGGTCTCTGGTCCAGGACCAAGTGCCTCTCATCCTCATCCCCCGCTTAGCACTCTCCTTGCCAAAGCTACCCGCGAAGACCCAATCTGGCGCCCACGGTTTGGTCTGCTTGAGAGATCGGACTCGCAAGAGAATTATCTTCAATCAACCGGAGGTGCTGCGCCTGATTCCATCCTCGAAGTTGCAAGACGTATCATCGCCCGTCCATGGCACGAGTCCGAGTCAAGCCGAGAGTTCGACCGAGAGCAAATTCGGTCTGCCCTTCGGATTATCGCCAACTGCTGTGCCGACAATAACGTCAATCGCAGTGTCATCGTTCGCCGCAACGGCATTGAAGCATTGATGGACATGCTGAGAGAGAAACGAGAATGTGACCTGGTCATCCCCACTTTGTACAACGTCTGCGTCGATTATGATGAAGCCGCAGTCGACAGCAAAGGTAACCCATTGCGTCTGCCGCAGCAGTCGAGCACAAGCAATGGTCAAGAAGCCGGACCTCCAGCAGTCAACGCTGCAGAGCAAAAACTTGGCATGGCTTGGGACGTATCCCGCAATCTCACGTCGGTCGAGACCTTGCTTGGGGCACGTGAGCTTGCGCAGAACTGCTTGGCTACACTGGCCGACTTGGTGGAAATGGCCAGCCGTGTGGCTTTACATGGCATGCATTATCTTGTCCATGGCCCCACTGGAGATGACACGGTCGAGATACAACATCCGAGCGGTCGAAGACTGATTCAGTCACTTTTGAGTGAGGGTGCTGACCTTGCCACATTCCCCGAATGCCGTGTTTCGATCTGCCAGGCAATCATGAACATTTTGTCGCAGCCAGGCTGTTTTGAGGCCCTGATTGACATCGACGGAGCAATCTGGAAGCTCGTTCATCTGCCATACGGATCTGACCAGGACCAGAAGGAAGTGGAAAACGATGATGAAAATGAGGACGAAGAACTTTTACAACCATACAGGAACGCCATTCTCAAGTTCGTTTATGGCATCTCCGCGTTGGATGCGTATGCAGACAAATTTGATCCCGAGTCTTCTCTGATACGCGACTGCATCCAATCTCTTGACCAACACAAATATAAGGCCGAGATATCACAATCAGGTGGGCCCACTGCGTTCCTTGATACCATGCCATGTGCACCTATCTGTGTCTTGCTAGCCAACAGCATAACGACCGCCAACCGTGCTGCACGCATTGCGAAATCGAGTCGGTTAGCATCCAACATAAAGACACTGGTCGCCAGTTCGGACGATCTAGAAGTTCTTCTCCCCGCCGTTGACCTCAGCGTCAGGCTCGCGATATGCCGCGAAGGACAAGACGCACTACACGACGCTGGCATGATGTCCGTTATGCATAAACTAGTCAAGCCTCGGAGCCAGACCGACGCAGTGGGCCTCGAAATCCAACGCAAGGCCGTAACACTGATCAGGCTAATGATCAAAGGGCGGCCAGAGTATCTGGGCGATCTCGGTCCCGAACCTGGTGGACGGTTGTCGACCAACAATGACACAGCAGACCGTCAGTCCAGCGCTGCTTCCGATCCCATCCTGGCCCCTGTGATGTCCCTATTCAAGAATACTGACGACGCAAGCACAAAGACCGAGATTGGACGGCTTTCGATTGAGCTTGTCAGACAGAGTTTCCAGCGACCGGCCCGGTCGTCAACTGATTCGTCGGTGCGAACTTCTAAGCCGCTTGCCACTATGGATGGAGAAGCAAAGCTACTGATGTTGCTGTCTGGACGCTCTGCTACACATGGTGCTACCCTCGACCGGGATATTTTCCCCACGCCCGTGGATGCTATGGGGTATATCATCACCTCCCTGACCCGACCGTCTTCCACCACTCCACAAACATCCCAGCAACAGCAATTGCTGACCACTACGCCATCTTTGTCTAATGCCAGCATTGGCGTCGCCGCGCCGACCACTAGTGGTAGTCCGTCCGGCGAAATCTATGCCGCCGAAGGAGAAGCCTGGTTCGGACTCGCCCTCTTAGCCCGTCTCGAAACCGATGCCGCAAAGCCAGCGATCCTGGCAACGCTGGCCCGCAACGACGGAGAGTTGCTGAAGCGGTTGCGCCTTATCATTACTCGAGGTTCTTGGGCCTCGCTTGAGGACATGTCTGACACGCCAGACACGAAAAGTGATAACGACGAATATGATGACGATGAGGATAACGGTTCGATACCCCATAATCAGAATAGAGGGAGGCTGCCGCCGCCTGATGCTCGCTACCAGAATGCAAAATCGCTTGTTATGTTGTTGCTAAGGCGCAGGTACGAGACGCAGCCGGCACCACAGCTTCAGGCGCTCACTAGCAGAACTACTACTGATGTGTTGGCTGCTTCGGATGGGTCACCGAGCCATGCCGCCGTGCTTGAAGAACTTAGAGCTCTTGCCCTGGAGATGGGATTTGGTCTGGACGAGTTGGAATAGGAAACGGCATTAACACTATATTAACTTACCATTAACTCGTTTTAGATACAGTATCTATAGAACAGAGTTTCGAATCGATTACGAACTGGTTTCGATTCGAGTTAGCGTGCTTGAATCGGTAATGAAATCAAAGTTTTAAGCCGTATTAGGAACGGTTCGAGCTGTAGAAGAATCGATTTCGAGGCTCGAATTGGTATTAATACGATACTATAAAGGCTATAGTAAGGTAGATCAATACCGCGTCAACACTGTACCGATACAGTTTCGAAACCGTTTAGAGAATCGAATACGTATCCGATACGGTTCTACCACAATTCGAACCCGGTTCGAAACCGATTCGAATACGATTCGGAATCGGTTCGAGACTAGTTTGGAACCGTTTACGGGTTTAAGTATATTAAGACCGTATCCGCTCTATTTACTTAATTCGCATATATCGTTAGTTCGCGTATATCGCTAGTTCGCGTATATCGCTAGTTCGCGTATATCGCTAGTTCGCGTATATCGCTAGTTCGCGTATATCGCTAGTTCGCGTATATCTACTATATACGTCGTACCTTCCTAATTATTATCTAACTACGCGACTTCTACGTCTCTACCTTCTATGTGCTATATAGGTATATAGTATTAAGCGGCCTATTTATCTTCCTACTACGTCGAGCGTCCTGTCGAGCGTCCTGTCGAGCGTCCCCTCGAACGCACTGTCGAACGTACTGTCGAGCGTCCCCTCGAACGCACTATCGAACGCACTATCGAACGTACTGTCGAGCGTTCCGTCGAACGTACTATTAATCGTCCTACTACGCGTATATCTACTCGAGCGTCCCGTCGAGCGCACTATCGGACGTACTGTCGAACGTACGGTCGAACGCACGGTCGAACGCACTATCGAACGCGCTGTCGAACGCGCTATCGACGTCCTGCTACGCGTACACCTACTCGAGCGTCCCCTCGAACGCACTATTAAAGGTGCTGTTGAACGTACAGTTAGGCGTGCAGTTAGGCGTGTAGTTGGGCGTGTAGTTGGGCGTATAGTTAGGCGTACAGTTAGGCGTATAGTTGGGCGTACAGTTGGGCGTATAGTTGAGCGTCTAGCGGTGTAGTTGGGCGTGTAGTTAAGCGTAGACCTTTTTAAATATAGTAGTTCTACTAGTAGTAAATATAAAAATAGTTATAGAATCGATTTATAGCCGTATTAAGGCTCTAAATTATATTCGAGGCTCTAAACCGTATATAGTATTCGAGGCTTAATACCGTATTAATCTAAATCGGTTCTAATACGGCTCTAAACGTTAATTTTATTACTAATTTAAGCACGCTAACTCGAATCGAAACCGGTTCGGAACCGTAGTAAAACTATATCCGATACGGCTCTAATACGGTTCTACTACGGTTTCAAACCGTATCGGATACCGTATTAAAACCGTGTTAATACGATGTTAATACGGTATTAATACGGTGTTGATCTACTCTATTACGGCCTATATAGTATTCGCGCTTAAAACCGATTCTAATACAATTCGGAATCGGTTCGAAACCGGTTCGGAATCGTTTATAGAGTTAAGCGTATTAAGGCTGTATCGACTCTATTTACTTAGATCTTAGGTTTCTATTATATCTACTAGTTCGCGTATATCTACTAGTTCGAGTAATATCTACTATATACGTACCTTCTTAATTATTATCTAACTACGCTACTTCTACGCGTACACCTCCTCGAGCGTTCTATTAATCTTCCTACTACGCGTATTCCTGCTACGGGTATACCTACTTCTAGGGTCCTATCGGGTATCCTATTAAGCGTCCTGTCCTATCGAGTATTCTATTAAGCGTCCTATCGAACGCACCGTCGAACGCAATATCGAACGTACTATTAAACGCACTATCGATCGTCCTACTACGCGTAGACCTACTTAAGCGTCCCGTCGAACATAAGCGTATAGTTGAGCGTATAGTTTAGGGTATAGTTAAGCGTATATATAGTAGTTAAACGTACTACTAAGCGAGCGTATAGTTAGGCGTATAGCTAAGCGTAGACCTTTTCGATTATAGTTCTACTAAAGTACTATACTTAGTATAGTATATACTAGTAGTAAATATAGAAACCGTATTAAGACTCTAAGCCCTATTAAGACTCTAAATCGTATATAGTATTTAAGGCTCTCGAGATTAAGATTCAATACCGTGTTAATACGGTATTAAATCTCGAAATCGATTCTACTACAGTTTAACACCGGTTCTAATACGGTTCTAAATATTAATTTTATTACTAATTTAAGCACGCCGATATAGATCAAAGCCGGTTTAGAACAATAGTGAAACCGTATCTAATACGGCTCTAATACGGCTCCGATATAGTTCTACTAAAGTTCGAAACTATATCGAATACTATATTAAAACCGTATTAATATAGTATTAATACGGTATTAATACTATATTAATCTAGTCTACTATAGCCTATATAGTACTATAATAGTAAAAAATAGAGTACTCGAACTCTACTAGAAGTACCATAGAGACTATAGTACTTTAGATTAATACTATATTAATATTATATTAATACGGTTTCTATACTATTTCGATATAGTATCTAATATAGTTTCGAACTAGGGTAAAACCGGTTCTACTACGGCTTTACTACGAATCCGAATCGGTTCTAAACCGATTTCGATCCGAGTCGGCGTACTTAAATCGGTAATAAAATTAATATTTATAACCGTATTAGAACCGGTTAGGAATCGCTTTTAAGGTTTAATACGGTATTATTACGGTATTAAGCCTCTAGATACGGTTTAGAGTATAGTATCGATATAGTTTCTATTACGTTTACTACTAGTACTAGTAGAATAATATAGTATTAGCCTTCTATAGAGGCTTAATCTAGGACCGATCTAGGATTAGACCTAGTTTAGAAATAGGATCTAAACTAGATCTAAACTAGGTCTAAACTAGAACTAATCCTAGATCGGAGGCTTAATCTATTAATTTTCTTAGATCCGGATCGAATCTAGAATATATATTAAGCTACTAGTAGAAAAAAAAGAGTATTCGAATCCTACTAGGGGTACCCTTTTTTACTAGTTTAAGAATATCGTTAGAATTTTTCTTTTTTATATTTCTAGGCAATAGCTACTTTATTACTACTTCGCTATAGTATTCTATAATGTATATACTAGTATATACCCTTCTATAAAGGATTAATTCTATATCGTTCCTTTATTAACGCTAAATTAACCCTACTTCGATCCTACTCCGATCCTACTTAAGGATCACTATAGGATTACTTATAGGCTAAATAATATATCGAAAATCACGATAGGATTATAATAGGATTAGTATAGAGATCTATAGAGATTACTATAGACTATTTTAAATAGCTTATCGAGAATTACTTATTAACTTAATTAAAATTTTAAATTTTTATATTACGTAATATTTATAGATTATAGAAAGAAGTCTTAAGAATACTACTATAAATATAATATATAGTATCGTAGCCTAGTACCTACTCCCCCCCCCTTAAAATCGATATAGTATTAATACCGTATTAATACGGTTTCGAAACCGTTCAGAAAATCGAATATATATCTAATATAGTTCTACTATAGCTCAAAACCGGCTCGAAACCGATTCGAATACGATTCGGAATCGGTTCGAAACTAGTTCGAAACCGGTTCGGAACTGTTTACGGGTTTAAGTGTATTAAGACTGTATTAATTCTATTTACTTAGATCCTAAGATTCGATTATATCTACTAGTTCGTGTATATCTACTAGTTTGTATATATCTACTAGTTCGTGTATATCTACTACTATATAGGCTGTAGTAGAGGAGATTAATACGGTGTTAACACCGTATCAACACCGTATCAACACGGTTTTAATACGGTATCCGATACGGTTTGAAACCGTAGTAGAACCGTATTAGAGCCGTATCGGATACGGTTTCACTACGGTTCTAAACCGGTTTCGATCCGAGTTAGCGTGCTTAAATCGGTGATAAAATCAACGTTTGGAGCCGTATTGGAACCGGTTCGGAATCGATTTCGAGGCTTAATACCGTATTGATACGGTGTTGATACGGTATTGAGCCTCGAATACTATATACGGTTTGGAGCCTCGAATATAGTTTGGAGCCTCGATACGGCTATAACTATTTTTACATTTACTACTAGTAGAACTACTATATTTGAAAAGGTCTACGCTCAACTGTACGCCCAACTGCACGCCCAACTACACGCTTAACTGCACGCTCAGCTGCACGCCCAACTGCACGCCCAACTGTACGCCTAACTGCACGTTCAACAGTACCTTTAATAGTGCGTTCGAGGGGACGCTCGAGTAGGTGTACGCGTAGCAGGACGTTCGACAGTACGTTCGATAGTGCGTTCGACAGTGCGTCCGACAGTGCGTCCGACAGTACGTCCGATAGTGCGCTCGACGGGACGCTCGACAGTAGACAGT